AAGGGAGGGAGGGAGGGAGGGAGGGAGGGAGGAAGGAAGGAAGGAAGGAAGGAAGGAAGGAAAGAAAGAAAGAAAGAAAGAAAGAAAGAAAGAAAGAAAGAAAGAAAGGTAGGTAGGTTCAGGCCAGGCCAGTTAGTAGACTGGGTTGGATGGAGTATAGAAAGCCCCGGAGAAGTAGCTTGAGCATAGGGTGTGGAAGACTTTGAAACCACGGACAACCGCCATGGCTGATAGGAGTCATTTGACTTGAGGTGGGGACTTATCAGAATTGGGCCTTGGGAACACTGCTCTGGCGACCATGTGAAGGCTGGGCTGGCAGAGTAAAAAGGGAACTGTCCCCTTTCCTCCCCCGAGGTACTTTGTATATCACAGAATGTCCTGTGTGTCTCTGCCACTAGAGAGAGAGCCCTAGAGGGGGGATGCGTGTATCATCACACTGCACGTGCCAGTAGGTGATACAGTAAATCACAAAACACAGCACAGCCGGAGGGCAGGAGATAGGCAGGATGGTTACTGGGGCTGCTGCTGGAAATACTAACACCATTTTGGAATCCATTTAAAGTGTCTTTACCCGTGTTTGCTTTTAGTCTCTGAACAATAAAAACTTTCTGGAAATCTGGGATGTGTAGGAATATATTCAAATCTTCACTCTGTCAATTGCCTTCGTGGCATATTGGGAAATTACTCAACACCCCCAAGCCTTATTTTTTTTTTTAATCTTTAAAATATAGATAAAACTATGTTATCGGTAATTGTTAACTTACCAAGTAATAATAGTTGCCTGGCTCAAATGAGGAATCTGGCATACAGATACCACTCAAACTTATTTTTTTTAATATTCTTATTTCATTTCATCACACAGGTGAGCGAAGGAGTTGCAAGAAAGACGCTCACATGCCTTGGAGAAGCTCCAAAGCACAGATGGGAGAACACTCAGACTCGCCTGTCTGCAGCCACACCCCGGCGCCTGTGGAGGAGCCCACCCCCTCCCCTCTCCAGCAGGTGGAAGAAGACTCGGACCCCGCCCAGCAACAGCCTCTGCGTCCTTAGAGACCCGGCGGTAGCAGCCCCGCCCGCGCGCTGGGCCCGGTGATTGGCCCGACTCCTGGCCTCCAATCCCCCGCCCCACCATGTTCCCCGCCAGGCTGTCTCTGGTCGCGATCCTGGGAGAGCACAGACTGAGTATCCCTGAGCTTCCTGGGTGGGGAAACGCCGCCTCGGGGGTAAGGCCTCCCCCTCTGTTTCATCCCAGGAAAGGGCTCAGGACTGACGTGCAGCTGCTGGGCAGACAGTGGACACCACAATCACAAACTGTGGTCCTTGAAGTTTCAGACAGTTTCACAGAGGTTGCAGGTTCCCCTGGACAGGGCTATCCTGGCAGAGCAGATCTTTCTTGCGTGCTGGCCACACACTAAGTGAAGTTGGGGTCTTGGGAAGAGCGCTGGTCTACTTCAGACCTGCACGCTAGAAACAGGTCTGTTCTCACTCGCTGTGTGAGTTTCGTCAAATGATACACCTCTCTGGGCCTTGGTTTACTAGTCTGTAAAACCAGCGTTTGGATTAGAATGACCTCTGAAGACTTTTCAATAATAGCAGACTCTGAAAGAGAGTGATCAGCCTGGGGCCAGGTTTATAGAACGTCTGAGTTGCCCTTGGCATCAGATCTGTATAAACATCCAGTACTTATCTAATACTGGATCTCAATTGTAGATTCACTGGATTGTTGCAGAAACACACATCAGCAATAACAACAAAAATCCCTCTTTCCTATGTACAGCGCTCCTTCAGATGTATTATCTCATTGGATTCACTCTAAAACCCAGGGAATAAAATTGGAATTATCACGGTTTTGTAAAAGGAGAAACTGAGCATGAGAGCTGAATATAAGATCTTCATATACCCACGAAGAGCCCTGGTTTCCTCTCTCACTTCACAAGAATCACGTAAGAAAGGTGGAAGGAAACCACCTAATATCAGAAAGGTAGAGTGCCCAAAATGGCTCAGCAGACCGATTTGGTGGACCTCTTGAGTGGGATTCCCAAATCTGCTAATTACTGATTCTATGATATTGAGTAAGTTGCATAAGTACATTATGCCTGTCCCCTCAACTAAAACAAGAATGATAATCATAATTAGGAGTATCTTACTCATGGCTTTATCAGGAATGTCGAGTGAGATAAGATAGGCAAAGCACTTTGTTCTGCTGCTATTTTTGTTGTTATAATTGACAACAGTAAATTGACTAATGGGAAATCCAGACGATGAAAGGTTTACTTATTTTCCAACCCAAGGATTTTGAGAAGCATGTCTTCTGTTTGGAAGACTCCGTGTGGATCAGATGCAGTGCCTGAGATAGTGGTGAAAATCATTGGAAGTAAACACTTTCGGTACCTCATGGAGAAGCCAAAGATGTAAGTTTACTGTTTGAAAAATGTCTGCTTTGCTGAGAAGATAATGAAGTTTGGAGTTGCTGGGTTTTTTTTAAACTGGAAATTTACATTTTTAAAATGTTGTCCATGGAAAATTAAGTCATGAAGGAGTAACAGTAGAAGCAAAATCGTGTTGATAACTTCCATGAGCACTGTTTTCCTGATATTTTTCATCTTTATAATTTCCCTTACTCCTTAATTACTTAGGCAGATTTTCCAAATAGATGAGGAATGCAAGCAAAGAGACATTTATAAATATTAATGGAGTATTTCTGCTGCTTCTCATCAGGTGTGCAATCTACTACATGTAGTAATTTTTTTAGCGGGGGTGGGGGGGTCAGTGTTAGTCAATTTGTTATGAATTAAAGGGGTGGGATTAATAATGAATCATAAATTATAAGATTTTCATTTATTCTTATTTATAGTCTATACTGCTCCAAGCAGGGGCTTCTCAGAGCTTAGCTACAAGGTCTTTCTTCCCTCCAACTCATCACAATCACATGTAAGGGAGGACACTCATGGATCTTTAAAATTCACCAGATATTTGGCACAGAAGCCTATGACTAGGTCTTCCTTCCAGCATTTTGGTGGTTCACAAAAGAAAAAAGAAAGCATGAGACCTGCCTTTGCTCTAGTATCATTCCATAAAGAGCAGCTGGTCAATCGTGGCCTTTCCCTCCTGAGATTATTCCCATAGCTTTTCCATTGGTTTCAGACACCGACAGACCAAACACAGAGACAAACAGATAAGATCTGGCCTCACAAAACAAAGGTGCTGAAAGTGGTGGAAACCAAACCTGGCTGCCATCAGAAACATCTAGAAAACCCTTACAAATAAAGATTTGGAATCTAACCCAAGACCTACTGAATCGGAATCTCTGAAAATGAGGCCATCAGGACCACTGTTATGGAGCATAGGCATTAGCAGGGTAAATTTAACTCCCCACCATCAGTATTGTCAGCCCAGAAAAATTCCTAAGTGAGTGCTATAATCAATTAGTAATGTCTGTCTGGCACAGCAAGGGAGTTTTGCGGCCCATGAGTCCGGCATTTGGGATCCCTACAGAGCTGAGAGATGTGAATTTGAATCCTGGCTCCGTGCCTTCCTGGCCTTTTGGCATTGAGAAAGTTCACTAATGTCTCTGGCTTCAGATTCTACCATCTATTAATTAAGGCTAAGACACATGTATCTAGTAGGGTTGTTATGAGGACCAAATGTGAAAAAGTATGCAAAACACCTTTCCAGTGCCCAGGAATGTATTCAAGATGCTCACTCAGTGGTTCTGTTGTTATTATTGAAGCATATTTTTCCAGGGATACAAGACATGTAATAAAAAATCAAATCTCATTCTATGGAATGCTTGCCATCCCTTTTTTTATTCTATGTCTGGGCGGCCACTTATCTCTGTTTTGTAGATGAGAAAACTAAGATACTGTGATATAATCATATAATAATCTTACAGTGATAAGATCTACTAAATGTCCGTGCTTGGCGAGGAAAGTACTAGGGTCAGTTTGGATGCCTGGCTCAGTTCTCCTCCCATCCAGAGACAACATTACTACCGCACTAATTCCATTCTGCTCTGGGGTTCTTTCTGCAGCCCCTTGTGTCCCAATTCCCTTCTTTTTCCAGGAGTATCAGAGTCCAATATGTTCCTAAAAGGGTTGGTTGGGGAGGGTCCTTGTCCTTTTAAATAGGGAAAAATTTCCTTTGTCTTATGCAAAGGTGCCTTTTATTTTCTTCTCTTTATTTTTTTAAATTTCAGAATCCAGGAAACAAAAGACTACATTGGGTTAGATACATGAACTGTGAAATAAAAGACCCAGTTCTTTTTCTTCTATGACAACCGTAAGACAAAAAAGTTTAAAGAACATCAAGAGAGGTCATTTCGTTTCTGTTTTCTATGGGCTTGATGTTACCGTGGCTGGAATTACATAGGACCATTAATTAACACACTTAGCTAAAATATTTCTGGATAGTTCAAAAATAAATGATTCTCAAAAGGTTCTTGTTGCTGAGGTAAAAACAGACCCACCACTGTCGTGTCAGGTATGTCCTAAAATCTATCTCGGAAGCATTTTAGTTGTGCTATGTGTATACCATTCAGCCCAGGTCTCAAGAGGGCTTATTTGAGCTGAATCTGATGAGTCTGTTAGTCAAAAATCTAGGTAAGAAACAGAAGTGAAAGCCAAAAAAGAAATAAGTCTCTAAAAGGACAACCTGAATTAAAAAGAAAAATTACAAATTAATGATGGAAAGAGGTGCCTGGGTGGCTCAGTCAGTTAAGCATCTGACTCTTGATTTTGGCTCAGGTCATGATCTCATGGTTCATGGGATCAAGCCCCATGTGAGGCTCCATGCTGACAGCACACATCCTGCTTGGGATTCTCTCTCTCCCCTCTCTCTGCTCCTCACCAGCTCTTTCTCTCTTGCTCTCTCTCTCTCTCTCTCTCAAAATAAATAAATAATCTCTAAAAACAAATTCATAATGGATGGAAAATAGAAATCCTCCTGTATAACCACATTTAGTTCAGATTTCCTGTAGCCTATGTGGAGAAGGTCGAATAGTATGTCAGACCTGAACGTGATCTTCAAGGTCTAAATCAATGTACTAATTTGCTAGGGCTGCTGTATGAAAGGTCCACAAACTAGATGACTTAGACAACAGAACTGTGTTGTCCCACAGTTCCAGAGGCTGGAAGTCTGAAATCAAGGGGTTAGTAGAGCCGGGGAAGAATCCATCTCTTCTAGGTGGTTCTCCCTGCTTCTGGCAGTTCTGTGGCTCATGGAAGCACAAATCGAAGATTCACATGGCAGTCTCCCTGTATATGTGTCTGTGTACAAATTTCCCCTTTCTATAAGAATACCAGTCAATTGGATTAGGGGCTCATCCCAGTCTAGTATGACCTCAATCTAACTAATTATATCTGCAATTACCTTATTTCCAAACAAGGTCATATTCTGAAGTCCTGGGGGTTGGACTTCACCATATGAATTTTAGGGTTCAATGCAGCCCATAACAACCAGTCTCCCATTTTATAGATGAGACAAGTGAGGACCCTGTGGGCTTAAAGTGAGGCTGGTTACTAAGAACTAAGAGCGGAATTGAGCTCCCTCCCTCTTTCCTTAATTTAGCCTGTACAGTTATTGACAGATGAAAGAAAAATACTCAATACCCATTTAGTAGTCAAATTCCTCAACAAGTAGATCTGCAGGCTTCAAAGAATAAAACAAGTGTCCCCGAGTTTTGGAATCATCACTTGCCTCCCACATCACCCCACCAGCCTTCCTTTCTCTCTATTTACTCTAATCCACTCATCTAAAGGCTTACTCCCCAAAGGGTGGTCCATGGTAAACTAGCATCAGCCTCACCTGGGAGCTGGTTAGATGCAGAATCCCAGGCCCCTCTCCAGACACAGTGAGCCAGAATCTGCATTTTGGTCAATTCCCAGGGGACTCTTAAGCAACATTACAGTTTGAGAAGCCCAATTTTCAAGTACAGCAAGCATCATCATTCTAAAATGCAGATCTAATCAGGTGCCCCACCTTCAGCCCCAGATTCACTGACCCCCTGCCCTTCGCCCCCGTGGGCTTCCATAGCAACCTTAAGGGCCTGTCACACTCTATGATTTCCTATGCATTTCTGGCTCCCCTATTTAACTGTAAATCCTGTGTGCACAATTGCACCCTCAGCACTGAGTACAAAGTCTTTACATTTTGAAAGCCTAATAAATGAACGAGGGTACAGTGGATGCCAAGAAAAATAAAGAGCTAGAAAGACAATGCTTAGTTGCTTTAAATCCAAATCTAAAGGTTCATGTTGCTAAAGTATTATGCAGATGTAACTATGGAACTCTGAGGAGTAATCTCCCAAAGCTCATCAAGAAGAAGATAATGCCAACTGACAGGAGACAAATATTCCCATTTTCTAAAAGGAGATAAAAGTATGTAATAACACCACAAAACCTGAGGCTTGTGGACAATCCCTGACAAAATTGCAGGCCAAAGAATGAAATATATTAGTTGTGAAAACAAAACACGAAAGTGATGGTCACTAAGGGTTGGTACATGTTGACTAAAACCAGATTATGCCAACATGGTGGTGACTGAACAATTGATGTCAACACTACGTGTTGGAGGTGGGGAGGTTAAGAGGATTTGTGTGTAACCCTGTTCTTAGTCAACATTTTTTTTAATCTTTATTTATTTTTGAGTGAGAGAGAAAGAGCATGAGCAGGGGAGGGGCAGAGAGATGGGGAGGCACAGAATCTGAAGCAGGCTCCAGGCTCTGAGCTGTGAACATGGAGTCCAATGCAGGGCTCACACTCATGGACCACGAGATCATGACCTGAGCTGAGGTCGGACGCTTAACCGACTGAGCCACCCAGGCACCTTGACCTTTTTAAATCCATAACTGAAGGAAGACAGACAAATAACTTCAGTAAACATGTAGGAAGAAGAATGCTGGAAAGCCCTGGCAGGAAAATGAGCTAAAACCCACAAGACAAAATCAACGGAGACACACTAAAAGTCTGTGTTTAGATAAGAGTATGTGTAAATGCTTCTATGGAATAAATGTCTGGGTTTTACTTGTTGTGAAACAATAGAAAATAGATATGTTAGTCTCTGCTCCCAGTTCCTGGCACAGAGCTCCTAAACCCCTTGCAGTTTCCTAGGAGATAACAAGAGCACCAGGTGCCTCTTCTGTTCTAGTATTCGGTCTTTGACTGTGGTTGCTGACACAACGCTCCTAAATTCCTTGGAATTTCCTGGGTGGTGTGGTGTCTCTGTTTCCATGAGGGTACTCTCAGTGGGCCTCTGGACAGCTTCAGGATGGAGGCTGGTCACCAGAAAGACCAAGCCGTGATTAAGAACAGAACTTTCAGCCCTACCCTCCATCTTCGGGGAAGGGGGAGAGGGGCTGGAGATTGACTTAATGATTGAGCATAACTAGGTGATGAAGCCTCCCTAAAAATCTCAC